ATGTCTGAACTTAAATTGAGGATTTAGTAAATTTTTTCAAAAAGAAATATATTTTTAAGAAAATATTTTTTTTCTAAGACAAGAAAGGGTGTGGTGCATGCAATCAACCGAGCTCAACTAAGTTTTCCCAAAATACCCATACATGTTATCTGATATGATTTGATCTATGATTCTTTGAGTCGCATGCTAGTTAACGCTAAGGATTTGCTTATTTTTTTTGTATGATAGAATGCTAGGAGATATGCCTTTTTATGCCTATTGTATGAGCTTGTAGACTTGCATGCTAGTACTGATCAATCAATAATAGGATGGCATGATTAGGTGATGCTTGGTTCAGGTTACTTGATGCTTGCATGCTACTTGGTTTGTGATTTTAGGAGTTCCTACTAGTTTCAAATAACTAGTAAGCAAATATGCTAAGTTACATATTATAGGAACTAAATAATTTTAGAAGGTCAGGTTTTAACTCTATTGTGAAGCTCTTGTTTGAGTCCAACTGTTGTAGTGTGAAACCTTTCATTCGAAGAATTATCTAGTTTCTCTGATCTTTAATTATATTCATGAGATAGTTAGAGGAAGTTAGCAGGAGTTCCTTCTACAGCTGATGGAGGAGAGTGGTATGGAGTTTGCCCTAGAAAAACCTAGGATGAGATCTAGTGTCGGGAGCCCTATTTGTTGAGGATTATTTGTATGGATAAAGGGTGACTTGATAGATTCAAGGAAATTATTGAGGAAAGTACAGATAGATGTGGAAGGTAGTACAGGCCCGTAGTACTAAAAGAAGGTGATCTGTACTCGAGTCAAGGAAGGTTGCGATGAAACCAGGAAGCTTGTAGAGATTGTGATCCCTCAATGTATTCTGACTTTTATTCTGATGGTTTATATAATCTTATTTCAGTATGTTGACATTGCAATGCAGACCTATTGGTAGTTCTGATGTTGGAGAAGGCTCGAGCTCAGATTCTAGAGTAGGGAAACTAGATGATCAGACGAGGGAGTTCGTCTCGTCTGAGATTACATGTTGCATTCTTGAGCAGACTCATGTGATCTTTAGCATGGTCAAGGTGGGCATTCTAGAGATTCTAAATGAGCGGTTGAGTGCCTTTCATTCTAAGATGGTGGCCTTGGTTGGGGCGTGTTCATTGACCTTCGGGGAGTTTCAGACATATGGGGCTCCAGACTATCATGGGGCAAAGGATCGTATAGCTAGTAGGAGGTGGTTAGCAGATGTTACTAATACCTTTCGCACCAACAGTTGCCCTGAGGGGGAAAAGGTCAGGTTTGCCTCTTATCCTCTAAAGGACAGGGCACAATATTCGTGGGATGAGGTCAGGTGCGTAGTGGGTGATGAGGCTATTGATTTAATGACTTGGGATGATTTTGTAACCAGGTTCAAGGATGAGTTCGCACCGGTGATTGAGGTGCAGCAGTTGGCGCGAGAGTTTGAGGATCTCTACCAGACTACTGAGATGGTGGTTGAGATCATCGTGATATTCTGAGAGAGGGCACTTTTGGTTCTTCAGTATGTGGCGGATGAGGAGATGAAGAAGGCTCGGTATCATGATCAGATGTTGACAAGTGATATTCGGAAGTTTGTGATCCGATCCAGTTATAAGACGTTGGAGGAGATGATAGCGTGAACTAGGGAGAGGGAGATTGATCTGGAGATGGAGAAGAAGAGGAAACCAGATTATGTACTGAGTACTAAGGGTTTGGGCAAGAGATCCAAGGTATCTGATTCTAGATCAAGAGGCCATCAGGGTCGTAGCTGCTATGGTAAGTGTGGTAAGATGCACGAGGGAGCGTGCAGGGTGGGTGGTTCTAGCTGCTTTAAGGTTGGCCAGATTGGACATATTAGCAGAGATTACACTGCTACCACCACCACCACCCCATTATCTGATGTGATTTGCTTTCATTGTAATCAGAAGGGCCACAAGAAGGACCGTTATCTGAGTTTGTCTGCAGTAGGACAAGTGTTAGCACCGCTGCAACTCTTCAGATTACTGATGGCTTCCAGGGCCAGGCAGATGCACTTGTAGTGAAGATCAGGGACTTTTAGTTGATAGCCGAGGAGACTCGTGCACCCCCTACGTTGTGATGGGTATGTATCTTCTCCTTATATTTATATTTATTTTATTTGTGTGTTTTATTTTTAGGATCGTTCCTTGTGAACGGTATTTTCGCCTTAGTGTTGTTTGATTCGGGGACTACCCGATCTTTTCTATTGCTTGCGCTTAGCAAGAGGTTTGTGGAGCATCAGGGGAGCTAGATTGTCCTCTTAATGTCGAGATTGCTGATGATAGGTTTTTTCGGGTTACAAAGGTTTATCAGGGTTGTACCTTTCAGTTGTTTAGTGATCAGTATTTAGCAGATGTGGTTCCCATTTTGTTATGTAGGAACAAGGTTATAGTGAGCATGGATTGGTTGAGCCCTAATGGGGCAGTGATCGATTGTGAGCATCAATTAGTTCACGTTTAGACCCCAAGTGGGGGAAATTTAGTGGTTCATAGGGAGAGATCTCACCGTGGGTCAATTTTGTGTTCAACAGTGAAGGTCAGGCTCTATCTTCAGTAGGTTTGTTCTGGTTATGTTGCCTATATTATGGATACCTGATATAAGGGTAAGGAAACCATGGATGATGTGCCAATTGTGCGGGATTACCCGGATGTGTTTTCAGAGGATTTTCCTGGGGTGCCTCTAAAGAGGCAGTTCGAGTTCAGGATTGATCCGGTTTCTAAGGCAGATCTGATAGCCCAAGCATCATATCGGTTGGCTCCTCCCGAGATGCAGGAGTTGTCTACACAGCCGCAGGTATTAGATATGGGACTCATTTTACCGAGCAGTTTTCCTTGGGGAGCACTGATCTTATTCGTGAAGAAGAAGGATCGGTCTCATCGTATGTGCATTGAGTATCAGGAGTTGAATAAGGTAACGGTGAAGAACCATTATCCACTCCTGAGTATTGATGATATTTTTAACCAGCTTTAGGGTACAACTTGGTTCTCCAAGATTGATTTGCGATCGGGTTATCATCAGATGAGGGTTAGGGATGAACATGTGTAGAAGACAGCTTTTCGGAATCGTTATGGTCATTACGAGTTTGTGGTGATGCCTTTCGGGCTCACCAATGCTCCAGTCGTGTTCATGGATCTCATTAACCGCGTATGCATACCGAAGCTGGATCGGTCTATGATTGTGTTCACTGATGATATATTGGTTTATTTCAAGACTCAGGAGAAGCACAAGGAGCACTTGAGGGAAGTTGGAGATATTGAGGAGGGAGAGACTTCTCATAAAGTTGTCCTCATGTGAGTTATGGTGGCGTGAGGTGCAGTTTATGTTGGGTTTTGAGCATTCTAACAATCCTAAGATGTACATGCAACCCTAAATACCCTGGATCTATGTTTTTCTCCATTATACATGCAAACTTGAGCTTTCCAAGGTATTACCCTAAGTTGCATACAAACATTGATACTTGGGTAATAAAACAAGTTAGATAACATACCTTTTCTTGTAGTTGGAAACCTTGGACCTTTAAGAACTTAGTGTCCCAAGTGTTGCACCTCAAATGGAATCACACAACACCCCCAACAACTTGGAATAACTTGAGAGAGGTAACCTTGCACTCAAAATCAGCTAGCCCTACTTTCATATTAATTAGGTGCCAATTCATGAGCTATGAGGCTTCTTATATAGTGTGCACATTAGGGTTACACCATGTAACCCATGACTTTCCACATTCCTCATGATCCATAGGTTTTAACCTCCACAGAGTATCCATAGGTCACCACATGGGTTTAGCCCAATATGAAGAATCATGGATCATAAGCCCACTATATAAGAAAGAATGATTTATCAAATCAATCCCCATTTATTTAATTAGTCTCTTTTGAGCACAAAATTAATTCCAAACTAATTCTTGATCAATACTAATTAAATAATATGATTTCATATTAATATATTAGAACTTATAATATATATATTAATAAATCATAAATATCCTCTTCTCACAAAAGTGTATCCAAATTGTTCCGATGCCATGCAACCCAAATGTACCATGCTACTCTCGAGTCAAGTACATACCAATAATAGTTATGAGCTTAGACACCTAATCCAACAGTCTCCCACTTGGATAAGTTTAATAATTATTATTGCAAGCATGACTCCAACCTGACTAGAAATCATAGCTCTTAAAAGTCGTTGGTGAACTTTGATCTAGTTAATGACGTGTCTATTAGATAAGAGATCATATATTCTTCCATTCTAGATATCATATGGACCGAGACATGGATTATAATCATTCTCTCTGTCCATCTACTGTTTCCCAATTTCCGATTTATCATGACTGATTTATTGAACGAATCAAATCAGTCCAGGGATAAAATGGACATAGATATATAAATCATGAGTTTGATGTTTACAAGTTCAGACATTAAAAATACACATAAAATGTGTTGCAGATCAATCCAAAGACATTAAAATAACATATAACCATAAGTTTTAGTATTTTACAATCCATATACGTCAAAAAGAAAATAAAGTATAATACCAAAAACATATAGTTTTAGATGAATACAAACACATCAAAAAACTTTGTAACATTTACCATATGTTTTTATTTAGAGAAATCTATAAATAGATTTAAAAAAAAAAATCACCAAAGTTTATTATACAAATAGTTATTTTACATGTGTTTGTATTCGGTTCAACCAATTTATTTTGATCTGTTCAACTGGATTTTTCTAAAAACCGACCAATTCAATCCAGTTCAGAAATCTATGTAAAACCGATGATAGTTGAACCATTCATATCTTTCGTTTTCGGTCCAACCAGTTTCGACGGCCGATTCAAACCGTTTTTAAAACATTGGATGCTATATAATCAAGGCTAAGAAAAGGAAATAATTACGTGAATGAGGATAAGGAAAGAATCAAAAGTTGAAACTATCCAAAAGTTTATATATACTCAAAACAAAGAATATGAATCATACGGCATCATTGCACAAATCGATTGCGAAAATTACGTTTCGAATTTCAATCGATTCCGCTCGGCTCCCGCCCTCAAGTCAATAATGAAGCTGTGGCAAGGATGACACCCTGTGGACCGGGCTGAAAGTAATTTATGATATTATTTATTTGAGATTGTAAGGTAACGAAAAAAACAAAATGAATCTTGTCACCGCCGTACATACGATATTTTCAATCAATGGCCACTCATAGAGACTAATGAAGATACCCACAAGTCCCGTCACACTCAGGCCATCGTGACCGAGTATTTATATGTTTATCTTTCTACTTGGGATCTTCTGGTTTTAATCATTCCGTGACAAGTCGATCGAGCTAAATGCCTAAATCTTCTACCATTTTCTAGCAAGTCCCTAGTGGGTGTTGTCGAAAAACGCGTTACTTTGAACAGTTGCTAGTTATCTCAACTGGGACCATCATCTTTGAATTTTGCCTCTAACTTTCCTCGGTCAGGAAAGTTTGTTTCTTTTGACCCATGCCGTTTATGGCTTAAACGCACACATAATCCACATATGAACGAGGGGCAAGTTCACATTCATGGAGAAGCTTACCATATTATTCTTATGCTTTGGTACTCTTCTAATCTCAATTTTGATAACTTGTGCAGCAGCAGTAGACACCGTATCAGCAAATCAAACCATCACAGATGGTGACACCATTGTTTCAGCTGGTGAAATCTTTGAAATGGGGTTCTTCAGACCTGGCACATCAAATAATCGGTACGTAGGGATATGGTACAAGATGATACCAACCCGTACGGTGGTGTGGGTTGCAAACACAGAGACTCCATTGAATGATACGTCTGGTGTGCTCAGAATTAGCCAGGGTGCACTCCAAATTCTCAGTGGTAACAACTCTGTAACCTGGTCTTCAAATTCATCCGCATCCGATAGAGGTAGCGATGTGGTGGCTCAACTTCTGGATACTGGAAATCTTGTTCTGAGGGATCAGGGAAGTTTAATTTGGCAAAGTTTTGATTATCCTGTAGACACCCTTCTCTCAGGAATGAGAATCGGCGTGGATTTGATAACAGGAAGAGAAACATACTTGAGGTCATGGAGGAGCGATGATGACCCTTCTCCTTCTGCAGGTCAGTATGTGTTTCGGGTGGATACAAATGGGTATCCACAACTTTTTGAGAGGCAAAATATGGCTCCAGTATCGAGATTCGGACCATGGAATGGTGTTACATTCAATGGCATGCCTAATTTAGGTGAAAATTCAATATTCACACACCAGTTTGTTTTCAATGAGAATGAGATATACTATCAATATGCACTTGTGAACAACTCCCTTATTTCCAGGATACATTTGGGTGCGGATGGCAAAATGGAAGACTTGATTTGGGACAATCGCACCCAAAATTGGACTACCTATTCAACTGCAAATAATATTGATGCTTGTGCACGTTATGCTATCTGTGGTCCATATGCAAACTGCAACATTAACAATGCCCCTGCTTGTAGTTGCCTAGAAGGTTTTGAACCACGTCGCCCTGATGAATGGGATTTAGCAGACTGGTCAAGTGGGTGTCAAAGGATAACACCATTAGCTTGTGGGAATGGGGATGGATTTCGTACGCTTTCAGGTGTAAAATTCCCAGACACAAATCGTTCGGTGTACAATTTGAACATGACACTTGATGATTGTGAAGCAACTTGCAAAGGGAATTGCACTTGTACAGCATATGCAAGTTTAGATATCAGAAATGGTGGAAGCGGATGCTTGTTGTGGTTCGGTGATCTAATGGATATTCGGGTGTATGATGAAACACAAGAACTTTACGTAAGAATGCCTGCTTCCGAACTACCAAGTAAGGCTTCTCTTCTCCATCTCCATCTCTCTTATTGAAGCTTTAATTGTACGTAGTTGTATTGTATATGTACAAAATAACATCCTGACGATCAGTTGCCATTCATTTGGAGTGAATAAAGGTCCTACTTCCCCAGAATATGGCTCAGGCTCTGGAAAGAAGAAACCAACGTCCATAGTTGTGGCAGCTTCACTTGGTGCATTTATTGTATGTCTGATTGTAGCACTGTATGTAGCATGGAGAAAGAAGAAAAGATCTCACAAGACAAGACATGGTACGTAGCCCAACTATGTCCTTTTTTAATTTTTTCTATACTAGAAATTTGCAAACACACTAAATATACTAATTTGTAGTTTTGATGCAAGCTCGTGAGGAGAAGTATACCAATGATGAGGATGGTAATAAAGATACAGAGTTGTCGGCATTTAGCCTTTCCATGATTGCTAAGTCTACTAACAACTTTGCTCTCGACAATAAGCTTGGAGAAGGTGGATTTGGTCCAGTTTACAAGGTAATACATTACATTCCCTCTTTATGTGAAAAACAGTAATTAATCACATGTAACAGATAGCTAATAATAGTAAGCTGAATCTTTAGGGTGTGTTTGAAGATGGACGGGAAATAGCTGTGAAACGACTCTCAAAAACCTCATCACAAGGGCTTGATGAATTCAAGAATGAAGTTGGATGTATTGCCAAACTTCAGCATCGAAATCTTGTGAAGCTTCTCGGATACTGCATTCAAGGAGATGAAAGAATGTTGATATATGAATACATGGAGAACAAAAGCCTTGACTTCTTTATATTCGGTTCGAACACACACATTTCATTTGTGATGTATATTAATTGTATATATAAACTAATTTAGTGACTATTGTCTGGCAGATGCATCCAGAAGTATCATGCTTGATTGGCCTCTTCGTTTTCATATTATCAATGGGATTGCTAGAGGACTTCTTTATTTGCATCAAGATTCACGCCTACGGATTGTCCATAGAGATCTGAAAGCTGGAAATATACTGTTGGACAAGGACATGAATCCCAAGATATCAGATTTTGGCCTTGCTAGAAAGTTTAGTGGATACGAAACTGAAGCTAACACCAACAAAGTGGTTGGAACTTAGTAAGAATCTAAGATATTCTCATTTGATTGTATTAGTTTCATTTAAAATTCTCATACATGATCAATGAACTTGTGAAACTACATTTCAGTGGTTACATCTCTCCGGAGTATGCAGTGCACGGCCTTTTCTCAGTAAAGTCGGATGTGTATAGCTTTGGAGTTTTGGTGTTGGAAATTGTGAGCGGGAAGAAAAACAGAGGATTCTCTCAACAAGATTACAACGACACCCTTATTGGACATGTAAGTAAATAAGTACCTGAGGCCGATATATTCTGAAACACCCACCCAAGTTATTGGCTAGCCCATTAATCTCTTGATCAACTAACTTTAAACCATGCATGATGGAAGTTATTTGTTGCCTTAAGGCTTATTAGCTCCCTAGATTATGCTAATAACTTCCTATTTTGACATTACTTAGGCATGGAAACTTCATAAAGATGGAAAGTCTGTTGAGCTTGTTAGCTCAGCTGTGCGAGACTCATGTGTCGCTTCTCAAGTACTACGGGCAGTGCATATTGGTTTGTTATGTGTGCAACATCATGCAGAAGATAGGCCCACGATGTCGTCAGTGGTTCTTATGCTGGGTAATGAGAACTATTTGCCTCCACCTAAGCAACCTGCATTTTTTGCGGAAGAGAGATTTGTAACAGAAATCAACTCCATGTCATCGGCCCTAACAACGGATTCTGTCAATGAAGTGACTGTAACACTTATGAATGCTCGATAGCAAGTAAATTCTTCCCTTATTATGGTATTCTTTATTCAACTATATATGATTCTATAATGCATCATGTATATGTAAAGAGAGTGTAATTACGAAAACCTACAATACATATCAACTCATCTTTTTTTAACCATAGCAATTTTGGAATTTGAATATCAATCAATCAAGTTGGATTTTTTAAGGATCGTGTATATAATTAGAAAAGGAGCACAAAGCTTCCTTGTTAAACCGATGTGGAGACTCCTCAAAGTTGATAGTTAAAAGCCATGGAGTTGCACATTGTTGAGTTATGTGATGTGACAATGATTTAGGGAATTGTTATTTATTGGGAGTTGTTTGTTTTGTAAAGATATATTGTAGGAGGGTGTTTTCTGACATACTATGGATTCCTCTGGGTTGTGACTTGCTTTCACTCAAAGATTAGAGAATACACGGGTTATATCCATACCCGGTTATGATCCAAAATATATAATTTGTTTGGTGTGTGTTATGAGCTCTCATAACACACAGATCGCTCACACACATACTCTTCTTTCTCTCGATCAGTTAGGGTTTTCTCTTAGGGTTTGTTCATATATAGTTCTTCTGCTTCTATAATTGTTGATCATCTTCTAGGTAGATTGAGTGTAGAATAGGTTGAGCGTGCTGGTAAGGTTGGTTGTATAGAGTTATTGAGTGATTGTATTGAGTTTTATTCGATTATAAAAGAATTGTTGATGTTGTTGACTATTTATGTTTTGTTCGCACATATTATATAAGAGGTGAGATTGGCATGACTTTCATCCCATCCCAACATCCATGTGGGATAGCTTTTTAGCTGATGAATAAAACCCAATAATGTCATGAAAAATAAATGTATAAAATTTTAACCACCCAACCAAGATAGTACTTTTGTTTCTAATTTACAGAATATATATATATATATATATATATATATATATATATATATATATATATATATATATATATATATATATATATATATATATATATTCGGTAAGAAATTTTTTTTAGTAGGAAGGTAAGAAGTTTTTTTTCTACATAGTTTTTTCACGAACAAAAAAAATGAATCAAAAAACATCTTTATGATTCATTTTTAAGTAAATTAAGAAAAAATTCACTTTAATGATAATTTTAGTGAATAACAACAAAATCATTATATAAATGAATCATCGAGATGTTTTTTTGAGAATTTTTTCTTGTGAATCATCTTACAAATGAATCATCTAATGATTCATTTTTTTGTTCGCGAAAAAATATGTAGAAAAAAAATTTCTTACCTTCCTACCAAAAATTTCCTTCTTATTTGATCTTGATTCTATACATATATATATATATATATATATATATATATATATATATATATATATATATATATATATATATATATATATATATATATATATATATATATATATATATATAGAGAGAGAGAGAGAGAGAGAGAGAGAGAGAGGATCGGTCCATTGGTTTTTACTATCCGGGACGAAAATAGAATTTTATGCCCTTTTGTATATGTCGTTGGATAAAGAAAACGTTTATATAAAAAAATTATTAAATCATAAATACAATAAACTTTATAATCAAACAAATAATATGGAAAAAAAAACCAACAAAGATCACTTAAAACGATATCTTTATGCATTTTTTTTGAAGCAAAAACATCTTATATTTTATAATAATCAATATTTTATAAAATTTGGATGCTAAAAATTGCATATCCATTCGATCTTTCTTACATCATGGTAGTTTATGGATACATGTTCTGTTTGAACAAATTTTCTACTATAACCTCACAATAGAATCAGAAATAGTGTAACACCCCCCTCTGGCACGTATCACAATATTGTCCGCTTTGGGCCACTCGGCACGAGGACTTCCCAGGGGGTCACCCATCCCGGTACTACTCCCGCCCGAGCACGCTTAACTGCAGAGTTCTTATGGGATCTGCTGCCCTCACGGCTTTAAAACGCGTTGTGACAAGGAAGGTATCCACACCCCTTATAAGGAGATGTTTAGTTCTCCTTCCAAGCCGATGTAGGATCAGGTGCAACCCACCTAATTGTAACGCCCGCAGATCCGAGCTAGTCAATTTAGAGGCAATAGGGGTCAAAAATGACTTTTCGACAAAAGATTATTTAGAATGAATAGTCTTAACCAAGTTTTAGAATATGTCACAAGGTTTTCGTACATATAAGGAACGCCGAAATCCGAGTTATAACGAAGAAGTTATGGCCCGCCGAAGTTTTACGGCAAAACCGGCACGGCACCGGAAGACGTAAATAGTGAATTTACGATAGAAGACTTTTTATCCTTAGCAATCTAAACAAAAGTTGTAGAATATGTTAAACTAAGAGCGTCGATAAAAAGAACGCCCAAATCTGACTTCGTATGAGGAAGTTATGATTTTTCTAAGATTCGGCTTAGCAGTGTACAGCCCGAAACTCGAATTTTAGTTCGAGCGGTTTTTGGCTTACGTGAAATAAATGAGAGTTGAAGATCTCATTAATAGGAACTCAACGGTAAAAAGACAGACGAAAACGGAGTCCGTATGAAGGAGTTACGAATTCTTCGCGGTCATTTAACAGTCTAAACGCCTCGTACTGTTAAATTTAAGATCGGTCAAGAATTAGCCGACGGAGTCAAAATGAAAGTTGTAGATATTATTTTTACCTACGCGTGGATATAAAGAACGTCAAAAACAGAGGTCGTATGTGAAAGTTACGGATTTTAGAAGTCGGAAGTGTGTTGTGCGAAAATGGGTGATGTGGCACAATCTTGGCCATTGCTTTCTCCCCAAGTCTTGCCACTAGATGGTGACATGTGGCACCAAGTTCAGCCATTTTCACCCTATAAATACCACCTCTCCCACCCTCATTTTCTTCACACCTTTCCCATTCTTTCTTCTCTTTACTCTCTCTCTCTAGAACCTCTCTCTAGCTTCCGAAATCCCCCGAAAAGCCTAGGGAACCTCCCTAGCACGAGGCGGAAGCCCCGGAGTGCTCGACGGCTCCGAGAAGAAGAGCTTTTTTGGCTCGGAAACGCTGCTCCAAGCAAAGCCTGGTTTTCTATAAAACCCGCTGTAAGTGAGCTACGCCTACGCTATTTTTAATATAGTTTTTATTTAATTATATTAACGTTATTAAGAACATATAATAAATACTTGGGCTATTATTATGGGTTATGTAAGTATTTTTTTTAACGCTTATATAATAGTAATAATAGCTAGACTATTAATTAGTCTCGGCGAATAATAGACTAAAATCTATTGGTGATAATACTAGGTTTCGTCGAAGGAAATTATTTTAAAGTAAACGAAGCGCTGTCCGAGTACCGAGTCACCACCTTCTCAGGTGAGTGCATAGTCCCTTTCATGAACATGATTTTAATATAAGTATTGATTGAAGTATTAATTATATGTTTATGTCCGAGTTAATTGATGTTGCTTGAAATTCGTGTTAAAGAACATACCTGATTATATTTGATAATTTAGGATAAAGAGTAGACCTAAATTAAATATGAGGAATATTGGGTAGTATATTCTTACGAGTACAAGTGAGTTAAACTCAGAGAATAGAAGTTAGTATATGTCACTTATCCGGGAGTATGGATTAGACATAGTCATTGTCCCTAGTCCGAGAATATGGATTAGGCATAATCATTCGTCGTTAATCCGAGAGTATGGATTAGCTATTGTCCCTAGTCCGAGAGTATGGATTAGGCATAATCATTCATCTTTAATCCGAGAGTATGGATTAGTCATTCGTCCCTAGTCCGAGAGTATGGATTTGGTAAATTCGTTCATTTCTGATCCGAGAGTATGGAGTAGGTAAAACGACTAATCTTAGGTCTGAGAGTATGGATAGCCTCATTGCGAGGATCGACGGGGTGGGATAAGAGTTGTTTATATATATGTATGGTGAAATTGTATATTTTGTGAATTTTAAACTATATATATGGTATAACATTGTGGGATTGAAATCCCTATGTGCTCACCAGGTTTCCCAACCTGACTCACTCAGTTTATTTATACCACAGGTGTTGATATGAAGTGACATTACACTGAGAGATTTAAAGAGATGTAGACCACTAGTGTGAATAATTGTAAGTTCTGTTTATGCTTATGTTCCTGTATTAACGATGACATCCCAAATGTTTTAAAATGAAATAAATACGTTTCTTCGAAAATGTTTTAATAACGTATTTACCATGTTTTTCTGGGAACAAATTCCGCAACCTTTTTATAAAATGAAGTACTCTGATTTTTATAAAGCATAAACAAAATCGGTCTTTTCTGGCCGTGATTTTGGGGATGTCACAAATAGGCATCTACTTTTAAAATTACTTTCTCTTAGGAACAATGAAATCAATTTATACGTTATACATTTTGTTGCCTTTAGAAAGTCCTAAACATAAGTTCAATAGAAAATTATATGCCTATTGATTCATATCTTATAATCAGAACACAAAAGTTTAGAAATAAACTCTACAAGACTAGAAATTTAATTTGAAACTACAACAAAAAGTGAGAATCAAATCTATAGCTACAAAAATGAAATCAATTTTCACTCTTTCTACTGTAATCATCGTCCAACAAACAACAAATAGTCCAAAGCCCTGAAACAAACAAACAAAAACATTTAAAACACATAAGATATCGGAATAAGAAAAATAACTGAATATGATATACCAGAATTCGGAAATCCAACTCCCCCAACCCCAATTTAGAATCAAAAACCTCAAGTTTCTTCATATTTTTGTGGTATGTGCTTCATAAATCAGAAAAAAAAAATCAAACTCAGAAACCAGTCAGAAATTAGAATGAGTAGTAGAGAAATTGAGAAAGAAATTAGAAGGAGAAGTAGAGAAATTGGTTGTAGTAGGTTTCAAGAGTTGGAATGATAAAAAAAAAAAAGAATGAAAGAGATGAGAATTCAAAAATCGACCTCACACAAACCTAGTTTAAAAATCAAAAACCTTATAGTTCTTCATATTTTAGGTGACTATATGCTTCAAAAATCATATTACCGGATTTTGGTTATGCGAAGTAAAGAATGAGAAAGTAAAAAATCGAAGTAGAGAAATCTTAAATTGGAATGAGAAATAAAGAAATTATATGTCGTAGACACTAGGTTTAAGAGAGAAGTAGAGAAATTATAACGAGAATGATCGATACTTCAGTCGATTAAAGATTCTGCTCCTCGATTTGGACGATGCGTTTTTCTAGACGTCGATTGGCTTCTCAAGAAGATGCTTGCACGCTCAAGATGACGCCACCAAACGCCTTTGACTTGAACCAGGACTAAACTGTGGGCCAAACTATACATACAATATTAATTACCGGATCAAATTTTTGCCCCTTTTTTCTTTGCTGCCCTAGGCGACGGCCCAAATCGCCCATGTATATGGGCCGGCCCTATATATATATATATATATATATATATATATATATATATATATATATATATATATATATATATATATATATATATATATCGAGCTAGGTTATTTTGTTTCTTACATCTATTGTTTGCCAAAATGCATAGATCTGGACCATCGGATGAAATATAATCAATGGTAATGATCTGAGAGTCTATGATATTACAATGAGATAACATGTACCATATAATAACACAAATTTCAACATAAGGGTATTTTGGATAATTAACTATATTTAAAAAAAAAATCGAATTTTTAGCGATAATTAATTCTCCTAATTTTAAGAATCTGGATTTTTTTAATATTAATTCAATTTTAATTCTAATGTAATTTGTAAACATAACCGATTTTATTTCGTCAGAATGTTTTTTTGTTAGAATGATGTTCTTTCAGAATTTTATTCTATTAGAATATTATTGAAGAATAACATAATTCATGAATCCCCGATTGAAGAATAACAACATTCTAATATATTCTTATACATTCAAACATAAATTCAAATTCGTACATATTCTAACAGACTAATAGTTTTATACATTTTAATATAATCATACATATTCTAAAAGAATATCAACAAAAATAAATAAAATTCTTTAAAAAAATAACAACATTCTTAAATTGTGAGTGTGATGAATCTTTTATTCATTCTTCAAGTTATTCCTATCATGTTTTCAACCCGTTATTCTAGTCATTCCTATCACAAATACAAAATAAATAAATAAATAAAATAAAATAAAATAAAAACGAAGAATTGTTAAAAGCATGTTAAATGCAATTCCTCTCACTTTATATATTATGACATAATACGTATAATATGATAGAATCCATATAATTATTTTGGCATAATATATAAAATACATTCTAAGATAATACATAGAATACATTCTGCTAGTTATAGCTTTAATCGCAAAATGCTTTCAATGTTCCTATCTTGACAAAAAATACATCACAGAATGTTTTTAATTTTCCTATCTTGACAAATAAGGAGATTGAAATCTAATTTTATCAGAATAATAGGCATCAAATTGATGAGTGTTACTAACCTTATTTTAAAAGAATATTGTGTTTTCTCATTCTATTGTTTATGTTTTCTTCTTTGGTTATGTCCATCAGAGACCTATTGAACACATACAAGCATGTATATACACATCAGATCTTGTCAAGTGAAATACAAGTAGCAGAATACATTCTGCTAGAATACACCTAGCATGTAATAAGATAAAGTACAACCAAACACACTAACACGCTAAACACACTAACAAACTAATAAAATTCACCTAAAATCAATCATATACAAAATCAATCATGAGATAATGCACATCCAAACCCACCGATCAAACAAATTGTGTATATTATATCAAGTTCTCTTTTAGACATTTTCACAAACACCTTACATGTAGTAAGATAAAGTACAGCGAAACAGACTAACATACTCATCAAATTCATCTAAATTAATCACATACAAAAACAATCATGAAATAAATAATTGCATTTACAGAAAGGGGAAAAGGGCAAAATGGGAAAAGTGCTAATGCTTACAGAAGTAACAATATTATACTCCTCAATTATCTTGCACCTGAATAAACCACCAATTCCTGTCAAACGAAACCAAATCTTGTTTACAACCCAAAAATCTAAAAACCCAAGTCAATTAAATTAAAAAACCATTACAAACTTAGGGATATTTATTCAAATGGATTATAAATCAAATTCATCCACCAATTAATAGTTACACGAAGAGGATGTAAATCAGCCCAAATTACCTTAAAAAACAAGTGGCATAAGAAATTAATCTACAAACAGTAGCTCACCATGGTGACAAAATCTGGTCGACAAATTAAGATACCCGACGGTGGAGAAAGAGAAGGAGAAGCGGCAACACAGGATGATGATGATGATGACGGATGAAAAGGGTCGATGAAGAAAATTGAACAGTCTATTTGTTTCATATTCAATCGCTGCATTCCTTCTCTCTCTTTTCTTTCTTACAATTGTAACAACCATACACATATCATTCGTTTCTTCAATCGATTTAGGGCTTGAATATGGAACAAATAGAGAAGACAGAGAGAAATGGTGAAATCGATATACAAGGGTGGTGGGAAGCGATGAAATTGATTTAGGGCTAATGTTCTATATTTATCTTTGTTTATTGCGTGATATAAGGAATTGTTGTTGATCTACTATAATTAACTATGCAAAGATTACTATAATACCCTTAAATGATTATTTAATAATTTATTTTTTCCTAATGTCCTATTGGTGCATTCATGCACACAATAGTTGCTAGAAACATTTAAACCTAGCTCTCTCTCTCTCTCCCTCTCTCCCTCTCTCTCTCTCCCTATATATATATATATATATACACACAAATGAGTCCCAAAATTCTACCGTAATTTATGATTTAGTCCTAAATGAATTTTCGTTAATGAAAAATGATAGGCTATCAGCTATTACACTCATTTTAGTCCTTCGAGTCGGTAACCTATCTATTAGTTGGTTGCTCGGGCTTGTTTTTCCTTATTACCCTCCATTAACCTTCCCATCACCCACTCCTATGTAAAAACCCTTTCTTACCCACCATCGAAACCAAACCCTAGCTCGGAAGAACCAATGGTAAGAAAATCCATGTGGTCCTCCATTATCTTGTAATTTAAGTTTGTTTCCCTTATAATATTCTAATTAGTTTTTGTTTTGTAGTGATAATGGAGACAGTAAATGACTTGGATACCATTGACGTGGAATTGGATGAGTTTTTCAAAAAGAAACAAAGAAGTCGATGCGAAGATGAGTTGCTAAACACTCTCACTAAAGAAGCGCTTGACGAATGCACCATACCTGAGATAAACCTACATGACTTTAAAGAAATCTTGGAAGCTGAAGCACAACAAGAGGAGCTAAGTGACGGTCACAATAAAGACAAATTGCAGTTTCAGTACTTAATACATGATCCGAAGGTGAAATGGAACAATATGAAGCTAGTTTATGGAGAGAGGTATGAATCACCACACTAACTAAGTAGGGGCTGTCCAATTAGGTTCAAGAAATATGATGGCGTAAGGCTTGTAGCTGTACATACAAGTAACCTTGAGAAATTTCAATGTCCCTTTGTGGTAAGGGCCTCATGGATAAGCACTGAAAGATCATTCCAAACCAAAAAATAGTTGAGCAATATACTTGTGTTAGGAATATCCGTAGTGCTAATCTTATGGATCCTACATGGATAACCAGGCAGTTTCTGAAGAAGATAGTTAGGAAACCAAATTTAAATATAAGGAAATGCAAGCTATTATTCAAAAGTAGATTTCATTGTAAGGTTTCATGGTTAAAATGTTACAGTGCAAAGCGTAGGGAGATTTCTTTAATACATCGAAAGTTGAGTAATCAATATGCAAAAGTATGGGATTATGGACATGAGTTGATGTGGTCCAATCAAGGGAGTACAATCAAATATATGTCACTGTAACACCTGATAAGACTACTACTTTCCATAGAATGTATACATGTTTTAAGGCTATCAAAGAATGATGGAAAGTTGGTTGTGGAAGAGTTATTGGGCTTGATGGAATTTTTTTTGAAGGTACAATGTAAAGGTGAGTTGCTAACTACCATATGAAGTGACGCAAATGACCATGTATATTCCATTACTTGGGCTGTAGTTGACATGGAGAACAAGCCTAATTGGAAGTGGTTCTTGGAACTATTACATGATGACCTGAAATTACAAGGAGGCTTGGGTTGGTGTGTTATTTCTGATTAACACAAGGTAATGTTTTTTATTATCTTTATTTGTCATTTCATTTATATAATTATCAACTAGTTATTAATGAAAGGTGTTAATGTAATTGATAGGGTCTTTTGGAAGCTGCAAAGGTTGTACTACCACATGTGGAGCACAGATAATGTGCAAGACATGTGAATGCAAATTTTATAAAGGTCTTTAGTGGTATAGAAGAGTTCAAGAATGTGTTTTGAATAGTCGCTAAGTTAACTATTGAGGGAGACTTCAAGTTGAATATGCAGAAGATAAGAGAAGTCAATCTTGCTGCTTATGATCATTTGGTGGAAATGGAGCCTAAATCTTTGTGCAAGGCATTTTTTAAAGGTGGAATGGCCTGTGAGGTTGTTGAAAATGGAATGGAAGAGTGTTTTAATTCCATCATACTCAATACTAGAAAAAAAGTCTTTCTTGGCCATTCTTGAGGATATTAGATTATATATGATGGAAAGGCTCTTTACCTTGAAGCAAAATGCACATAAATAGGTAAATGGTGTGTGCCCAGGACCTATTAAGAAAACGGATGAGTATAGTATTGATATCAAGTAAGTATCTTAAAATTTTATATTATTACAATTATTAATGTGCATTGTAAGTATCTTAACATTTTATATTATTACAATTATTAATATGCATATTAAGAAGGTGTTTGGATAAATTAATGTATAACTTATTAGCTTATAATGGTATGAGAAAGCAGCTTTTACAAAAGTATTTGGATTAGCTTATAGCGGTGGGGATAAGCAATAAGATGATAAACATTTAAGTGTTTGGCAAACAAAACATCTTATATAAGTAAAATGACTAGAAGTAAGCTAGAAACTATAAGCAATTAGCTTTAAGCAAGGGGGAGGAGGAGGGAAACTTTTCAAAATTAGCTTATTTAGCTTATCTCCGCCATAATAAGCTGATTTTTTAATGTTTCCGATCCAAACACTTAAACTTAACTTATAGCGATGGGGATAAGCAATAAGCTATAAGCTCTTTTTTTTTTCTATCCAAACACCCTCTAATTGAAATTGTTAGTCTTTATAGGTGTTGGTATGTTCATTTAAGCGGTTTGAATACTTATGAAGTGAGAAATGGCTTCTACTAATATGGAGTGAAATTAGAGGGGATGTATTGTACATGCAGATTTTGGGAGTTGTCTGGGATAACATGTGTCCATGCCCAAGCAACCATAAATTACACACAATAGGATCTAGTTAGAATCATTAGCACATGGTTTGATAAGGACAAGTTTTTAGCTACTTATGGGTCTAACATCATTCCTATTAATGATAGTAATATGTGGGAACCAACACCTTACATCAAACCACTACAACCTATTAAGAGAAGGATGCCAAGAAAGCCTAGTATCAAAAGGAAAAGCATGTTTCTGAGCATGAGGGCATGTTCTCCCAAGTCTCCTCTAAGGGCATAACTTTCCAATGCCAGAATTGTATGCAAAGGGGGCACAATAAATTATCTTGCAAGAATCCCTTAGTTAACCCTACAACAAAGCCTAAGAAACAGATTGGAAGGTCATGGTTGAATCCAGAATTAACCAATTGCATAAGAGGTGTGAGAGGATCTAAAAAGGGTGGTAGAGGAAGTGGAAGAGGTGAAGGAAGATGGCCTAATAGAGGTAGTGGAAGAGCTGGTGGAAGAGGGCCTAATATCACCTAAACACAACTTAAAGAATTTGATGCTTTGCTTCAACAATCCAAACAAGTTCCAAAGGTATATCGTTTAACCTTGAGAGTGATTTTTTTCGATAACATAACTAACTTGTATTTTTTCCTATTCAAGGATGTGTCTTTTGAGAGTCAACATGTATCTCTGCCAATCCCAAATGGCGTTGATGAAACACAGGATTAAAATGTTGATGAAGATGGACTTGATGATGCATAGGAGGACAATGATGAAGATGGAGCTGATGGAATTGATGAAACACAGAAGGAGGAGGATGATGAAGATGGAGTTAATACTACTCAAGTTAGGGTTAGAACTATAAAACCTTCTGAAAGGATGGCTGAGAACATGTTGAAGAAAATTGTGGTGGACAAGAAAGGAATAACGGCTCCATACAAACCTCTTACTATGGAAGCCATTTTTGGTAAATTTGTTAATATGCCCTTTCTTTTGTAAGCATTATACAATATGGATGCATTATTAACACTTTGTCTCTAATTTTAGCCAATTTTGATAAATTATGCATGTTTTGTGATGTATAAGTAATATCCATTTTGGTCATTATGTTATGTTAAAAAAATATCATTTTATGCATCTTTTGGTTATGTTCTTTTGTTCGTATCATACAAGTCTACTTCATTTGCTCACATCATACACATCCAATTGGACATTGCTCAAACAATATGTATCCATAAAACCATTTTTTTCATTGCCATAAGATACAACTTACTAATCCAGATTACATACATAGCCAAAATATAAACAATAACTTAAAACTACTTCAACATAATCCATATAATCACCAACAAACATAAAAAAAAAAACCCAAATCTTCAATTTTCCACCTTCAACTTGTACAAGAATGCCTTCAACTACTTCCACCATAGCTTCATCTACAAATGTTTCCACAAAATCATTGTGTACTTGAATGTCATTATTGTCAAAATCCATCAATATGTCCCTATACCAGTTGTTTGGTAATGAGGGATCAACCTAAGCAAAATACTTGTAATTTTTTTCCTCATCCTGTGATATAAGAAATAAAACCTAATTGCAAGAGATTTAAGATGTAATTAAAAAAGGATTAAGGGTTACTTACCCGAAAATTAGTGCATCCGATAAACTTTTCGCCAGGGTTTGTTGGCCTCCATGATGTTCACTTACCAACGGCGTCTTCACAAAATCATGCTGCTTTTAATGTTAGCCTTCTTGATTGAACATTGCTCCTATGAAATATTGAGCTTGAAGATGCCATTGTTGGGTTTCGTTTGGTTTAGCTCGATTTTTATAATCCTAAAGCCAAAACAAAACTGAAGTTTTTGTTTTTTAAAATTAATAAACAAAAACCAAACCTTCAGTGAGTTTTTTAGTTTTTTTGTTAGTTTTTCAATTTTTGTTCACCGCTAGAGTGAATGTTGGCATTGTCCCTAAAGTTTTTCACATAAATTTTAGATATGGTCCTCAAAAGGTTTTAGGTTTAGTAACTTTAAATTTTAGATATGATCCTTAAAAGGTTTTAGGTTTTATTAACTTTGGTACTGGTTATAAATACAAAAATACAATAAAAAAAAACATTTTACATTGGATCTAACAAAAATTTCTAATGGTGTTAACCATATCAATTTCTCAAAAATGGGATCAAACCTACAGAAAAATATATACCTCAGGGACCAAAACTATAATGTACTCTTAGTTATATTTTCCAAAAGAAAGTATCCGGAAAAAATTACTTGATAGCCATTTTCTTTTTTTTGTATTTTTTTTTTCTGGAACGGCTACTTGATAGCCATTTGATTTTGGTTGATAAGAAAATCAGTAGGGGGGAGCAAACCCAAAACAAGAAACCGATTAAAACCGACGAAACCGAAACCGATAAAACCGAAACCGAAGCAAAACCGACGGTTAAGGTTTGAATTTTCTAGAAACCGAAAATTCGGGTTCGGTTTCGGTTTTTATCTAGAAACCGATCCATCCAACCCAAAAAACCGACCCATACTTAATACCCAAAAGACCGCCCCAAGAAACCGATCCATCCAACCCAAGACCCATGGGTTTAAACCCAGAACCCGTCAGTGTATGGGTTGAACCCAAGAAACCGAAAAACCGCCCAAACTGATCTCAGAACCTAAGAAACCGAACCGATCAGAAACCGATCATATTGGGTTCTGAAAACCAAAAACCAACCATTTATGGGTTGGGTTGGGTTGAGTTTAGGTCCAAAACCGACCCAAACCTACCCACTTACAAAATCAATTGGTTGGCCACGCAAATTGTCAACTTCTATAAACTCCGCCAACGACGTTGCTGGAAAACGTCGTCCACTTCAACCACAAATTAACGGCGTTTGGTGATATATGAAAGAGTTGTTGAATTCAGTTATATTCAATAAAGGCATGTATAATAGATACAAAATTCAACTCTACGGTCGCTGTCACACTTCCCTCGCCGGCAGCACCACCATATCTTCGGTTGCGGTGAGTTTCATTTCTGTAATTTTATGTTTTTAATTCTTTGATGATGTTCCAGTGTGTGTCAGTGATGAATTAGGTTTTGGAGATAATCTATTCTATTCCTATTGGAATGTGAAGAATTTTAAGAAAATCAGTTTTGGTTAGAATTAAATGGGCATAAATTCCACGTTATGTTATGTTCCCCTCTTAAGTAAATTTGGTGAAGGTGACCATACCCAATTTAACCGACCAATCCGTTTTCAATTCGGGTTTTGGTGAATTGAAATTATAGTTACATAACCACTCCCTGTAGTTTAGGTAATATGCTGAGTTTTTTATTTATTTATAACTTTTAGCAAGTTTTGTTTGGGTAACACCCGATTTACCCAAATATATACCTAATTATAAAAAATAATTATTACTTCAAAAGCAGAGCATACAAATTCCAATAACTTCCATATAATAAAGATGATCACGTTAAATGGTTTACAGATGATATACTGCTAATTCTATATCTGACTGAATTGAACTCTTTAAAATTTACTTCCATGAACACATTATTAAGTTTGAAATTTTGGATTGTTGGTGCACATAGTTTATTTAGAATCCTGATGATGAGTAAATAAGTTCAACAAGGCTTTCAGATACATGACTTTGAGGTCCAGTCAGCAATCTTATTAATAATCCCACAAAGACAAGACCAGGTCAACAAACACAAACCTTCTGGTATTTATGGCCAAGTTTACAAAAAAAGGTTATTAAGATAGGAGAACCTTTAATTTATTAGTGGGTCTTTGTTCCTTCAATTGGAAAATAGACAAGACAATTCTAATCAAATAATTGAGCCCAAACTTTATTATTTCTTACCTGTAAATTAGTCTTCCATGAAATGGAGGCTGCAAAAAGATTGAAATGAAGGCTTCCCCACAACATCTATTTTTGTCCATACACTGCTTTGACCGAAAAAAAAAAGACAATTTTACTCAAATAGTTGATACTGTGCTTATTTTTTCTTAGCTGCAAATATTCCAGGAAACTGAAGGCTGCAAAACACATCAATGAGCACTTTCACAAATATTATATTCTTGTCCAGTGTTTTATTCTTACTTTTGAAAATTTCTGCTGCAGTAGACACCATAACAACATATCAAACAATCAAGAACAATGATACGATTGTTTCAGATGATGAAATATTTGAATTTGGTTTTTTTACCCCGGGTAACTCCAAGTATCGATACTTGGGGATATGGTATAAAAAGGTTCTTCCTCAAACAGTTGTATGGGTTGCTAACAGAGAAACTCCACTTACTGATACCTCCGGTGTGTTCAAAGTCAATAGCATGGGAACACTTCTGCTTCTCAATGGTAACAATACAATGATTTGGTCATCAAATTCCTCATTATCTTTCAGTAATAAAAATATTGTCGCAAAGCTTCTAGATTCAGGAAATCTTGTTGTGCATGATAACAGTAGTAGCACACATGAAGATCCCATTTGGCAAAGTTTTGATTACCCTACAGACACCTTGCTATCTGGAATGAAATTCGGGAAGGATTTTATTACAGGAGTAAATAGATGCTTGACATCTTGGAAGAGTCTAGATGATCCTTCTCCAGGCCTGTATGTAACCTGGCTGGATACAAATGGATATCCACAATCATTTCAGAGACGAGGTTCAGTTATAACATTAAGATTTGGACCATGGAATGGTGTTAGGACAAATGGTTTACCTAGTAAGCCAAATCCTATTTACAGATATGACTTTGTTTTGAATGAGAAAGAGGCGTATTTTATATATAATCTTATTAATACCTCGTTTCTTTCAAGGCTTGTTATTGGTCCTGAAGGCCATGAAATGAGGTTAAACTGGGATGATCCCTCCCAAGGGTGGGTCCCGTATTTGGCTGCAACGGTTGACATATGTGCACCATATGGACTCTGTGGTTCTTATGGAAGCTGTAACATAAACAGTTCACCTGTTTGTAGTTGTATGGAAGGGTTTGAACCAAAACACCCAAAAGAATGGAATGCAGGAGATTGGTCGGGTGGTTGTCAACGTAAAAAACCATTAAAATGTGGGAATGAAGATGGTTTTCGGGTGATTTCAGGTTTGAAATTTCCGGATACCAGGAAATCATGGTATAATCTGAGCATGAACCTTGGAGAATGTAAAAGGGAATGCAAGAGGAATTGCTCTTGTACAGCTTATGCAAATGTGGATATTAGAAGAGGTGGAAGTGGATGTTTGCTATGGTTTAATGATCTTATGGATATCAGAGAATCCGATGAAGATCAAGATCTTTACATAAGAATGGCTGCATCTGAGCTAACAGGTGGATAAAAAAATTATTTCTCATTCATAGAAATATAATAATCTCTCTTTGATGTGTTATATCTTTTGGATTTACGGTGTTTCAGGCATAAAATCTGACTTTAACAAGAAAAAAGTAATCGAAGTGGCCCTTGGAAGTTCAGTTGGTTTTATTCTTATATGCCTAGCTGTGGTAGTGTATATTAGGAAGAAATGGTCTCATGCACAAATTCAAGGTAATGTGATCAATTCCTTGAGGTAAAAATTAAGAACACATAATAAGAATGTATATTAACTTTGTAGGTACTCTGATGAAGACCCTTTGTGAAGACTATACAGATGGAGGCCAAAATAAAGATGTAGAGTTGCCATTTTTCAGCTTTTCTGAAGTATCTAAGTTGACAAATAACTTCTCAACTGACAATAAGCTAGGACAAGGTGGCTTTGGTCCGGTTTACAAGGTAACATATATATTAATATGCGCCTGATTTATTTTATATTGCTTGTATATATAAGAGAAATAAATATCAAAAATATGAATGAAAATGTTTGTTCTTGGTAAAATCCTTAGGGTGTAATGGAAGATGGGAGAGAAATAGCTGTGAAGCGACTATCAGAAACATCTACACAAGGAGTTGATGAGTTTAAAAATGAAGTTAGATGTATTCACAGACTTCAACATCGAAATCTTGTGAAGCTTCTTGGATTCTGTGCTCAAAAAAATGAAATCATGTTGATTTATGAATACATGCCAAACAGAAGCCTAGATCAAATTTTATTTGGTGAGAATCTCTTCAAATAGTAAAGTTTCAAGCCAAAGGTATATATTTAACATGTGTTAATTTTCATACAGATGAGACCAGAAGTTCAATGCTTGATTGGAATCACCGATGCCGCATCATCAATGGAATTGCACGAGGGCTTCTTTATCTGCATCAAGATTCCTGCCTTCGTATCATACATAGGGATCTTAAAGCTGGTAATATTTTGTTGGACAATGACATGAACCCAAAGATATCAGATTTTGGGCTGGCTAGAAGATTTAAAGGATACGAAACTGGATCTAACACAAAGAATGTGGTTGGAACTTAGTAAGAATCAGAAACCAAATTTTAACTATTTTTAACATCGATCCCCATATCAACTGATCTGTCAAATTCTATACAGTGGTTACATCCCTCCAGAGTATGCAGTTCACGGGATTTTCTCAACAAAATCAGATGTATTTAGCTTTGGTGTTTTGGTGCTGGAAATAGTAAGTGGGATGAAAAACCGAGAATTCTCTTCTCAAGAACACGGCGACAACCTTCTTGGACATGTAAGTTTGATAAATCTGATGTTTTGGTTTCCTGCTATTATTATTGACCATTATGTGTGATTATCGATTGTATATACTTGCGATTTATTACATATGATATCACTCAGGCATGGAGGCTGTATAAAGATGACAAGAGTCTTGATCTGGTTGGTCGATCTTTAAGGGAGTCATGCATCATCTTGGAGGTGCTGCGGTCAATACACATTGGTCTTTTGTGTGTGCAGAATCAGCCAGAAGATAGGCCGACAATGTCATCTGTGGTATTGATGCTTGGTAATGATGGTGTCTTGCCTCAGCCTAAACCACCTGCCTTTTTCACCGAGCCTGATCTCCACCCAGTTGCACCAACCACGCAACAGTTTTCTGTTGTTAATATCACTACATCATTGACAGGTCGATAGAACGAATTTTCATATATTTCGAAGCTCATAAACCATACAATATTTCGCGATATCTTCCCAATGCAGCTTAACTCCTGAACATATATAGTTTTGGGTTACTTCATCCGGCCAATAAAAAATTGAAGTAAATATGTTTTCAGTCTTGTATTTCTGCACCTATATATATATATATATATATATATATATATATATATATATATATATATATATATATATATATATATATATATATATAAAGGTTCAAATGAGAACCAAAAAAGGTTAAGAACCGTAAGAACCTCTAATTTTAGATGTTTATAAAGGGTTTAGGGTTTAGGGTTTAGGGTGTTTATAAAGGGTTTAGGGTTGAACTTCCTCCAGCCATGCTACAGAAGATATTTGAACTTGGTTTACATCCATTGACATAAGGTGAATTAAACCTTTTTCCTACTTAAAAAATATATAATATTGGTACCAAATGTTCTAAATTTTCTCTTTCTTGTTTATAGGAGGAAAGCAAAAGTTTTAATTGAATGATTTGTTGGTTTTAGGTTCAAATGTGAAGAGGTAAATATAGACGCATGGAAAAACCATGAAAAAAACAAAGATAAATTCTTCAAGAATAATGAAAGACTCATCAATAATAATGACAAATTCATAAAGAATGCACTGTTATAATTTGTTTATATATTCTTTAAGAATGATAACCAATTCTTAAAGAATGTACAAATGATGAAATATATCTTATAAAAGTTTTGTATATTCTTATTGATGACAAATTCTTACTTAGAATATAGTATACAAGGTTGTTTATATTCTTCTAAATGTTGTATACATTCAAGTTTTATGTAAAAAAATGGTTGTAATTCATGATTCGGTCTTCAAGAATGGAAATGATAAGAATCGAAATTGAATTGTATCCTTAAAAACAATCTCCAATAAAAACTTATTCTTCAAGAATGACAATGATAAGAATGAAAATTGAATTACATTCAAAGCAATCTCCAATAATAAACTTATTCTTTAAGAATGAAAATTGAATTTTTGGACGCGTCAAAAAAAATGCTAATTTGGCATATTATCAGAAAACGTATACTTCAAGAATGAAAAAAAAATAAAAATATGCGTTCAAATGTGTTAAAAACGTATTTTCAAAAAAATATGATTTAATATTTGATTTGATTTTTATTAATTGCGTTTACCAAGTTTCCTAAAATTAGATAATTTTTATTTCTAATTAATAATTGTAATTATAGAGTACATGGTAGCCCATGTTAATCACATATACCTTAAGATCACATCATTTTATACTTTTTAATCCAATGGAGATAATTTTGTCACACATTTACACAATATTTATGATTCACATTTGATCCTAACCTTATATATATATATATATATATATATATATATATATATATATATATATATATATATATATATACACACACACACAGGGTGTAAAACCCGTGTATTAAACGGGTTGAATAAAAAAAATTAAATATTAAAATGTAAACAATAAATATTTTTTAAAATAAAATTTTAAAATAATAAATAAAGAAATGAATTAATTGTAAATTAATATGATATTTAAGACATTTAATACTTTACATATATAAATATTATGTGGCTTTTTAATTTTTAAAATTTGAAAACCTAAGAATTGACATGTGGATATTATTTATTTAAAAAATATCATAAAATGACGTGTGTCAAAAGTTATGAAAGATTAACATGTGACAAAATGGATCTTCATTCATTATAGTTGATACACATATATAGATCATATACATATATGCAACTAATAAAACAACAACAAACAAACACATAGTTATGTTTAAGTCATCCATTCAGAAAAACCAATTTTTTTTTCATATGCAAATACGTGCGTATACGTAGTAGGACATATAAGATGACGCAGTTTATTTTAACAACCGGGACATATAACGATATCAGAGTCCATAGAACCAGGCCACACAAGGAGATTTGGACACGGTTCTACCACTTAAAACCGGGTCTTATAACGATCACATATACATTAGGTCCATTCTAATAACCGGGTTATTTAAAGAAAGCTGATTTTTTTATAATAGTTTTTTATGAAAATAACTAACAAACCGTACATCCAAAATTACATTAGGTTACAATTAACCACCAACACAACTGAAACTTACATCCAAAACACAAATGCTCTGATAAAGAAGTTATGTTAATATAGACATTCTAAATAAATAACCATTAGTTAATAATATAAACTGATATAAACGAGTTTGTGTCCTTAAAAACTCCTTGATTTGCAGGACATATAGCTTATCGCCTTTTAGGTCCCGGTTTTTACATAATATATCATGGTTTTCCTAAAAAAACGGGTCCTATTTTGCGAGTCCTATAACGCCTTTTGTAGTAGTGTTATATAGTTTTAAGATAAAATATTTATTTATTTATTTATTTTTGTAGTTTCAACCCTCGTTATTCATAAGTGATCAAATTTTTATTACAGTAATTCGTTATTTACTTATGAATAAAACATATGCTTAATCTTTTTTTACATTTTAACTATCATTTATATATGAATATAACACATAATAAAGTTTTCTTATCTAAAATATTTTTTTACATCATCTTACGTCACATGTTATACTCATATATGAATAAAACGTGTATTAGCTCTCGACATATATTATATTCATATATGGATAAAACATTTATCATATTTTTATTACAGTTCCTTTGTTACTCACATATGGATAAATGTTATGTTGATAAGAGACGAAGTTTTTTAAAAATTCGAACTCATTGTTCATATATGAATAACAAATGAACTGTAACAAAATTTTGTTATATGTGTTATTAATATATAAATATAACTTGCGAGAAGAGCTAATACAAAATTTATTCGTATGTGAATATAACATATGACGAGAACAGATGTAAACTATAAAAAGTTTATTACATATTATTTTCATATATGAATGATACTTCAACTGTGAAAAATTAAGCATATTTTTTATTCCTAAGTAATTAACGAATATACTGTAATTTAAGGAAACTTGTTTGATTAGAAAACACACGTGTATTCATTTACTTTTCCTGCCGGTACGATGGAGAGTTTTGCGACAAAAATAAATGATTGACTGAGAATGATTCTCATATTCTCAATATTTTTTATTTTCTCAATTGAACTTACCTCTCTCTCTCTCTCTCTCTCTATATATATATATATATATATATATATATATATATATATATATATATATGACTTTAAGTGTAAAGTGATTTAGTTAATGGGTCATTTGGGGTTGTCTAATTAAATTTAGAGGAATTTACAATTAATGACTTAGACAAAAATAATTGTAAATTAGGCAAACAAGTATGTGGTTTTGTAAAATGGGTTACGTTTTCACAACCCATTAGCCCAATAAATTTAAAGTCTAAAAAACATTATAGTTCATTTTCACATTCACAAGTTAGGAAACTCTCTCTTAAGATGAAGTTCCAATTAACAATGTTGTAAGTACTTGTATCTATAGTTTCTTTGTTTGTTTTTTTTTATCATATAGGGTGAATATAGTAATATTATTTATATTTTGTTGTTGGAGATTGAAAAAAAAAACATGACAAAACAAAACCACAGATAAGCCCATGGCCATCGACGGTTTTGCAATCCTTTATTGTACAACATTGCATCAATTACTTATACATCTGGGGTTTTGTTCTCAAAGCCAGCAGAGGAACTATAAATAAGCTCATGAAACCACATGTCACACCCCCAAACCAGAACGGCGGAAACGTTCGGGGGCGGAGGACGTCATATTCAGTATCATAACAGTTCATAGAAAGGAAAGTACACACCACTATATATATTAAAGTTTCCAAGATGTTTACATAATTGTATTCATTACATGTTCAAAAGATAAATACATAAACATCATTCAAAAGAAGTAATTAACGCCAGCGCATTAATCCCAAAAGTTGATTCCCAAACCTGCTTAGCGGTTCCCTGAGAATACAAGTTATTTCAAAGAAAAAGTGTCAACAATTAAGTTGGTGAGTTCATAAGTAGTTTAGAAAAATTGGATGCCATTCCAAAATGGGTGTATATTTTTCAGAAAACGCAGCATTTCAAATGTAAAGAGTTGTGATTTGTTTTGTTGAAAGTGAATGTATTAAATCCAGAAAATCTCATATTTTCCCTAATGATTGAGATACGAGTTGTTGTGTTTCCCAAGAAAAACCCTTATTTTCTTATAAAAGTATGAAATGCATATGAATGTTCGTGTTATAAGTTGTAAATAATTGCACCAGGAAAATCCCTTATTTTCCTAACATAAATGGCAGTCTCTAAGACCAAAACTTTGCAAGAAACCGACGTTCAAAAGTTGTGTCATAGTTTTATATAATAAAGCTATACGAAGATCGCATTTGTTAGATGAAGAATAGCTTTAATAGCTACTCGTTCATAAAAGCATAATACCATAATAATTGTGTATCCGATGAGTTTTATAACCATACTAAACATAATATGCCTGTAACGACGTTCTTCAGGCGTCGCAGCGTTATGACAACTGTCACCCCAAAAGACGGACTGTAGCTAACAGTCAGGGCGCGGGATCATGACTTCCCGTATAGATCTATACACATTTGACACGTTCTCCGAACGGGAGACTCTGGTTATAGACAGGACTTGCAGCATTACTTTCTAATAAAGAAAAGTAACGTTTGAAGATATACACGTCTCATGGATTCTCAACTAAGTCGGTATTAAAGTGATAGTTTTGTATGCAAAGTTTATCCTTTTTCACAATGTTTGACAAAGCAAAATCATAAGTTTTTAGAATGTATAAAAAGACTTAACAATGAAAGGTACTTTGAAATCATTATATACTTTGTATAATGTCTAATGCACACAAAGTATGACAAGAGTTTTCCATAAAAGAAATAAGTTCCAAGTAATTTATTCGATAAAACAAGTGAAGTAAAAACTTTATAAAATACACGATAATAACCGTATGTTTACTTGTATCCCCCCCCCTAAAAGAGTATAAAAGCATTTAAATGTATTTAAAGTGTGTTTGAAAGGGGTATGAACTCACTTGAAAGTTTGAAGATAGCAAGATGGAAAACCGGGTAGAGTTTCGTCTCGGGAAATGGATTTTCCTCGGAAATCTCGGGATTCC